TTGCTGCCACCACCACTTCATCCCGTCCAGTCCGTCACCTCCCCCATCCCCATCTTGACCTCTCCAGCTCCTCATCTCCAGCTCCGGTCCCCTCGACTCCACTGGCCACTACACACATCCAGTCTTGGTCATTCCCTCCTGTGGACTCATCCATTGCAAGTCTGGATTGTGGAGATACTCGCCAGCCCTACTGCCCACGCCTTTTAGGCCAGCCCCACAGAAGGGACCTTGTCAGCTCCCACAGTGAAGCCACACCCTAGTTCCCAAGGTTGGCCACAGATGGAGTCTTCCCATGAGGTGGGGGAGCATGACCAAGCCCTGCCTTTCCTCTGGAGCCCCTCCTTTGTCTTGGGGCCCTCAAGTATTATTGGTCTTCCCTTTAACATCCTGACACAATGGTAGAATGAGAATCACCCCGTAAATTCCTCGGCCCAGCAGATACTCAGAGGGACATGCAGTTAAGACTTTAGCGTAGATGGTGGGATGACAACAGAGACGAGCAAGATCCTGCGTAACTTGGTCACCTGACCTGTCAGCCCCCGGCGGAGTTCACGCAGCACGGCCTGCGGCCTTGGGGCTCAGAGCCCAGACTCTGGACTCAGACACCCGGGTTCAGGTGTGACCACCTGCATCACCTTCAGGAAATCCATCATCTCTCAGAAGTCTGTTTCCTCTTTAAATTGGGGCCAGGGCACCACCTCATGGGGCCATGAGAACTAGAGGAGAGGATGAGGATGTGGGCAGTGTCTGGCACAGAGCAGATACCCTGTAAAATGGTTGCTTCTGTAGTTTTTATTTGCATCTTTTTTGTGTGTACATTTTAGTTACATTTTTCTCTCCACCTCTCTCAGCGTTCTTGGGCATGTCTAGACCCTCAGAGGCCAGGGCCAGGGTGGTCTCAGGACAGAAGTTGGGGCTGGGAGGAGCAGCTGCCTCCCTGTGGGGCGTCCTGTCCATCACCCCTTGAGGGCAGGACTCGCTGTCCGGATTCCCCTGCCCCTCCTCCCAGCCCACAGTGGTTCTTGATGCCCTGGCTGCTGGGTCTTGGTGTTGCTTCTCCATTTGGGGGTTTCTGTGTGCACATAGGCTCAGGGTCTGTGCTGGGTCCCCTGGCTAGTCCTAGCTCTCAGCACAGGGGAGCCTCGTCCCCCAGCAGGGGTCTCACCCAAGCCCTACTTCCTGTTCCCCCTGTGGCACTAGCCATCAGGTCTCCCCTTACCCCCCAGCTGAGCTGACCTTAGAGCAGCCCCCGCCCAGCCAGGGGCCTGATGCCCCAGCTTGAATGCACATTTTCTGTAACAACGTTCATCCATCCCATAAGCATGACCCGTTGGGTGCCCTTCGGGGCTGTTCTCTCAGGATTTGGGTATTTGGCATGTGCCCAGGCCCTCACGCTCCCTGGTGCCCGGTGGGGAGGGCCGAGGCCAGGGCCACAGAGCAGGCCAGCCCTTTGTCCTTCTGCACTGGGGCCAAGCCTGGGCAGCCCTTGCCCCCACCTCCAGCTCCCAGCCCCCTGGGTCTTCACAGCTGCCCTGGGTTTGGGTGGTGGAAGAGGGATGTCAGGCTGTGAGGGGGCTGCAGCTCAGACTGGTAGTGGTCCTCCCCCGGGGCCTGGGCCATGAGAAAGCAGCTTGGAACTCTTCCTGTGGTTCCTGTCCCATCTAGTCCAGTGGGGTCTAGCAGGTTCTGTCTGTGTCCTGTGTGGGGGTGACCGTCAGCCAGCCTGTACCTTGGGGGCGGTGGGGGCTGTTAGGGTCACTCCCGCTGTTCTGTGCAGACAGTGGTTTTCTGTTAGGTTGTGTCCTGTGGGGCTATTAACTGTCCGTTGGACCGTCCTGTGTGGGTATGATCGTCTGTCAGCTTGTTCCAGGGAGGGCCTGTTGCCTGTGCCTCGGGGTATTCTTGTCACAGACAGCTTGCCCAGTGTATTCTCACCAGCAGTGTTTTCAAGTGTTTATTGCCAGGGCTGGGGGGTGGCCAAGTAGAGTGGTTTCACCCCCACCCCCACCCCGGCCCCATCTTGGGCTCCCCCACCCGGACATGCCAGGACTGTCCCCCAGCCCAAGTTTCCTCCACCTTCTATGAGGGTCCTTTTCAGCTGCCCACCCAATCCTGGCTCCTGTCTGTCTGTGGCCAGAGCAGCTCCTCAGTGCGCTGGCCCGAGTGGGAGCTGCAGCCTCCATTAGCCTCCTGAATTATGCAGGAGCCGCGGTGGGTCGAAGCACTTTAGCAGGACCAGGCTGAGGAGAGGAGCTAGAATGGGTGGGGCTGGCGGGGTGGGGGTGGGGGAAGGGATGATGGCTGCTGTGAGCGGAGGCTGCTGGGCACCAGGGCCCCAGGGCAAGCCCCTTCCCTCCCCTGGGGTTCTGGTGGGCAGCAGATTCTCAGGCTCTTGTCGGATGAGGGCATGGTATGCTTGCGAATCCCAGGCCAGCAGGTCTGCAGGCTGCTCCCGCCCACGCCTGGCTCTGCTCTGCCCTGCAGGGCCAGTAGGGCCGGGAGCACTCATGGGAATGCTCATTGGCAGACAGGCTCCAGTACTCGCCAGAGCAAGATGGACACTCAGTGGAGTCTGAGGGTGGTGTAGAGCCCCTGGCCAAGCCGACAAGCCCAGCAGGACTGCAGGTTGGGGTGGGCTTGTGCTCCAGAGTTTGACCCTTGGTTCCAGCCAGGAGGCCACTGGGCTTTTCAGGGAGAGCTTCCTGGAAGCAGCACTGCTGCTGGGGTGTGGCCCCAGTGTCTGCACCATCTGATCAACACAAGCCACAAATGCTGTCGAGATCCCTCCCCGTGTTCCAGGCCTGACCTCTGTCTTTGTGTCCCCTCAGGTGCCTTGCAGATTGAGAGCAGCGAGGAGTCGGACCAAGGGAAGTATGAGTGTGTGGCGACCAACTCTGCAGGCACACGCTACTCAGCTCCCGCCAACCTGTATGTGCGAGGTAAGGACTCGGGCAGTGCCCAGCCCTGTCTCCACGGAGCTGAGCTGCCCCTGCTGGGCATGCTGCCTGGAGCCCTTGGTGTGGACACATGAGGGGCTGCTATGGGCCCAGTCTCTCTTCCTTCTTGCTCTTTCTGCAGCAGCCATAGTGGCCGCAACAGCTCCCACTGGGCAGGTTCCTAACATCCGCCACTACTTTGCTTTTCTCCTCGCAGGCCCTTTGGGAAGCAGCCACCCTTGGGAGCATTTGTATCTCTTATAGGTCCTGCCACGTGGGCCCAGAGCCGCATAGGAGTCTAGAGCAGACTTCTCATTGTATATCTATGTGTGTTTGTGCACGAGCAGGCACATGCTTTTGTGTAGATGTGTGCATACCTGCCTGGCCTTCCTTGAGTCTATCCTGCCTACTCCAGCAAGCTGGGCTCCAGGTCAGGCGAGCCTCCCTCTGGCCAGGTCTACTTGGGGCCTTCCTGGAGGAGGAGCCAGTCAGTACCCTTGTAGAGAGGGTCTGTGCTCTGTCACCAGCCAGGACTCTTGTGTAGAGGGTCAGGCTGAGGCCGCTGTGAGCAGGCACTGGTGAGCAGCTACTGTGTTTCAGGTGTTTCTTGCTGGGACGAAGTGGATCGTGCACTTTCACAAGTCCAGGTACCCAGCAGAGAGGGCCCAGGGACTGTTTTGGAGTGTCCAGTTTCTGCTATGCCCACAGCCCAGGGGTGACCGAAGCTGGCACCCTGTCTCTTCCTGAGAATATGCTGGGTCTGGTGTGCATGGTGCCCAGGAGTGGCCTTGGAGCCCTTGCTAGCCCCTACCGTCCCCTCACTTAGCCCTCTTGTACAGATGGGCGTCATTAAAAGTGAAACCGTCTCCACTTGGGGGATTTGTAAAGGAAAGTGGATGTGGCTTCCTTACAGCAATGATTTCATCACGCTGAATGCTTTGTGCAGCTTCGCGAGGGGTGTCGTCCACCTGTCTGCCCAAGGCCAAACACGAGGTGGGGCTATGTCGGGCCTGTCGCACTCTTTGGGTCCACTTGATCAGAGAGGGTTAGGCAGAGAGAATTAGGCCATCAACCATGTACTTATTGAGGGGCTGCTCTGTGTCAGGGCACAGGTTCCCGAGAGGCCACGGGCTGCCAGCCCGTTTTGTGATAGGCAAATTGTGTTTCAGAGACAGTGGACAGTGCTTCTTTGGAGTTGGGGGCATGGGATGGGAGGTCCCCACTGGCCCCCTTGTCAGGTGTCCTGCTCGTCGAGGCTCACCTGAGTGGACCCGGGGCCTGTCTTAAAGAACAGCACCTTGGGGCCGGCCCCGTGGCTTAGCGGTTAAGTGCGCGAGCTCCGCTACTGGCAGCCCGGGTTCAGAACCCCGGGCGTGCACTGACGCACCGCTTCTCCAGCCATGCTGAGGCATGTCCCACGTACAGCAACTAGAAGGATGTGCAGCTATGACATACAACTATCTACTGGGGCTTTGGGGAGAAAAAGGTGGAGGATTGGCAATAGATGTTAGCTCAGGGCCGGTCTTCCTCAGCAAAAAGAGAAGGATTGGCATGGATGTTAGCTCAGGGCTGATCTTCCTCACCAAAAAAAAAAACAAAAGAACAGCATCTGGACAGGGAGGCCCAGGAGCCCGAGAGCCACCCAAATGGCCAAGATGAGTGGAGCTGTCAACTGCACAGCCTTCCCCTCACACTGCTGCAGGCAGAGCTTCTGACAGGCGCACAGGGGCCTGACGGGTCCTCTCTGAGAGAAGAGCGGCTGGAATGACCCTTCTCAAGGACCTGCCTCTGGACCGTTCCAAATGCTGTGCAGTGTTGACCAACACTTCTTCCAGAAGACCATAGGGTCGAGAGAGCGGAGGTCCTGGGCCTCAGCAGAAAAGCCCTTGGCTGTGTGTTTCTGCACCCAGGAGAGGAGAGGCCCCGCGAAGCCACTGTGAACTCCATGCAAGCAGCACAGGCATGGTCATGTGGGCACATTTCCTGGGGCAGAGCTGCAGGAGGCGCACTGAAGCAGGAGAAAGCCCAGACCCAAGGGGGATGGACCCTGCATTGTCATCTTGGCTGGGCAGTGTTCTCTGAAGTCACCATGCTGGCCTCAGACCTGAGGCAGGGCAGTGGGTCTTTGGAGCTGAGCTGAGCTCAGCTGCTGTAGCAGGCAGCTCGGGCACTGACTAGGAAGCTCTTACCTCCAGCCCCTTGGAGCCTCCCTGTCTGGGGGGCCCCCTCTGTCCACACATGACCCTGACTGGCTCCTGCCATGGCCCATCCCCCACTCCTACTAGGTCTTCCTGAATCGCCTTCCTGGCTCATTCCCACAGACCTTTTGGGCAGGGAATGTGGAGTTTTCTTTAGTTCTAGCCCCACTTGCCAGGGACCCTAAAACAGGCTGTTCCAACCAGGCTTCAGTGGTCTCTCCCTCTCTCTGTCACACACACATGTTCCTGTGGACCCTGGTGTCTAAGGGCCAATCCTGAGTCTCTGTCCCCCGGCCCGACCTGAACCTGCACCTGCCCTGCTTTGCCGAGAGCGACTTGCCCTAAAGCCACAGGGCAGGCCCTACTGTCTGGATTTGCAGACACCTGGAAAGCCCTGCTCCTAGGACCCTTGCCTCTGATGTCCCCACCCGTCTTCATCTCAGTCCTGGCAAAGCCCTTGCTTTCTGCCCCCAGCAGTGCTGAGGGTCCATCAGCCCAGCTCCTCTGGGACAGCCTCTGCTGTGCTGGCCACCAGCTCTGTGTCTAGAACCCTGCTTGTAGGTGGGCTGCCCAGGGAGAAACCCCCAGTGCTGGCTTGCCTGCTGGCCTGTGTTCACCTGTCTTCCAGCAGAGCAAGGCTTCCTTCCGGAGCAGGTGCCTGTGACCCTCCAGGCCGGTGGAAGGCCCCCACTGGGCTCCAGCTCAGGACCTAAGCCTCAGCCTCCTGGTCGTGTGGACCCTAGCCCAGGGTTTCTCAACCTATAGACATTTGGGGTCAAATAACTCTTAGTTGTGTGGGGCTGTCCTGTGCATTGCAGGATGTTTAGCAGCACCCCTGGCCCACTAGATGCCAGTAGCACCCCCTCGTCACGACAACCCAAAATGTCTCCAGACGTTGCCCAGCCCAGTGTCACCTGGGGGAATGCCCCCAGTTGAGAACCGTTGCTCTGGATGGATGGCCTCCCACTGGCATCCATCTCCATCCATCTCGGACTCTCTTCTCCTACCGTGTCCGCTGAGCCCAAGGCCATGTCTCCTTTGTGGATTTGGCTTCAGTGTCGACCTCACATCGTCCTCTTTCCCCAGACTCTCAGGGCTCCCACTGTCTCTCTGAGGCCCTGCAGTTGCTACATTTAATGGGTAGTGTGTATAAAGCTCCTGGCAGGGCCCCAGGCACGCAGGAAGTGCTTGGGCGTCAGTAGCCACTGCCACTGTCAGGAGTGCTGTTGGGGAATGCATCATCCAGTTACGTCTGACGTTGCTCACACTTGCCCGCAGCTCCACCCACAGTCCAGCAGGCCCAGGCATGCTGGGTGGACCAGCCTCTCTCCGTCACCCTCAGACTCCCTCCCTGAGTGACTCACTCTCTCCTTCTGTCCACAGTGTCTCTCTCCTCCAGCTCTCAGGATGCACAGCTGCCAGGGCCAGGGTGGGGCCACGCCCTCCATGGAGCCCAGCCTACCTGCCGCCAACCTTCCCCCTTCTCTACAGGGAGCTGGCCGCTGGGCCACAGCTTCTAAATGGGGCAGTGTCTCCACGGCCTTTCTCCCCGCAGGTGCCCCTACCAGCTCCTCACCCTGCAGCGCTATGCACTGTGGGGCTTCCTCAAGGTGGTGGGATTCTAGCAGCTTGTGTGCCTGGTGGGTTTGTGGGCTGGGTGGGCCCTGACCCCAGAGCCTAACTCACTGGGTCTGTCCGAGCTGTGGGGTGAGCGTGAGGCATGGGGGCCTGCCTGTGCCCCACTTCCACCCCTTCCTGTCCCGCCCTTGGCATCCCGGCACCTGCCGACGGGATCCAGCCCTGTCCACCGTGTCCTCCATGAGTCCTGAGTCTTCTGTAGCGGCGTGGTCCGCGCGCACCTGCGTGCACGTGCGTGTGCGTGGGGCACAGGAGTCTTGTCTCGTTTCCATGCTGTGTGGGCAGGTGAAGGTTGGCCTGTTTTTACTCTCTCTGTGTTTCTCCTTGTCTTTTTTTTATTCCCTCCTCATCCTCATCGCACTCTGCCATCAACCCAAACTCTCATCTCTCAGATCAGCGAGAAGGTTGGTCCTTTTCACTTCTTACCCATCTACAGTTCGCCCACCGATGCGATGCTCCTGTCAGTAGGGACCAGCGGGCTCGGTCAGCTCCCTCGGGCTCACTCCACCAGGCCTGCCCGCCAGTCGGGCTCTGCTCCTAATTGTTTGGGCCGGCAGGCGGGCAGGACCGGGGGTGGGTGGGCAGGCCCCCTCCCCTGCATGTTTCTGCTGCTTGGGGCCCTAATGCACCACGTGTCTGCATGTCCTCTTAGATGAGCTCCTCTGCTCGGGTGGTCGGGTGGGCATGGTGCATGGCATGACACCGTGCCCCACCTTTGTACCAGGCCAGGCCAGCTGTCTGTTCCAGGTGGAGCTCAGGAGTGGTTGGCGGGGCTGTAAGAGCTGTAGTTCTTCATGCGCATCAGTGGGGCCTTCCACAACCCCCCACTCACCTAAACTCCACGTTCGCCCAAGCTCGGCTGAAACCACTGGGAATACAGACAGAAAAGATGAATCTAGAATGAGCCTCTCCCTCAAGATTCCACAGCATAGGACAAAGTCCTGCAGGGTCTGCCCTGACCTTGAGGATCCCACCAAGACTCGACAGGGCAGTCAGCCGGGTCTGCTTCACAGAGCTTGGTGTTCGTGGCACAGGTGGATGGCATCGTCTTGGCTCACTGAGAAAGTCTCTTATGCTCTTGTCTTTTCCCTCTTGGCCAGATCCAAATGAAGGTCTTCCCGCCTGCCCCGGGTGCCTCTGCCCGAGCCTCCCCGCCGTCTCCCGTTTGCTCAGCCCTGTGCTGGGTTCCGGGCATTCAGACCCGAGGAGCTCACACCTGACTGAACAGTCAACTGCAACTTATTGAGGCCCCCACCCAGCCACAGGTGGAGAAGGGCTTCCTGGAGACTCTGCTGCAGCCCATTCCAGAGCAGTAGCACATGGGGCTCAGCCTGCCCTCAGGCCAGACTCCTATCTGCAGTCCTCCGGCCAGCAGCAGGGGCTAGCAGTCATTCTTATGTCACATGGTCTGTGTGGTCGAGGAGACTCACCTATCCACTGGGCTTTGGTCTGAGCCCCAGGGAGCAGACCCAGGCCACCTGTCCCCTCTGCATCATCTCTGTGGCTTGAGTTTCCTCCACGAGGGAGAGGGAGCCAGTCAGGAGGAGCGCTGTGGCCTCAGCTCAGATGTCAGCCCCGAGCATCCCTCCATGTGCACTCGTGAGCTCTGGGGCATTTCACTGACACCATTTCGCTGACCGGACGGATCTGCAGGGGCATTCAGAAAACAGCCATCAGCAGAGACAGCCCAGCCCCTGCACCTCCTCCCCCACCCTTCTGGTCCCTTGTCCCTTCTCTTTCTCCCCCTCCGTGGTCCCACCAAAAATAAGCATGTACACAAATATTTAACGGGAAGGCAGAAATGAGTTTCTAAATATTCTTGGGGGATTTGCTGGGCTGGTAATTTGTTTGGCACTGATAATTACATCTTACGTTTTTCCAGCTTTACTTAAAACTGTGTGCTGAGCGCGCTGGTATTTAATTACTGCTCTGTGGCAGCCAGAAGGTTATTTATTAAAGAGTTATTTTATCTTGATACAGTGGATCCTGCCCCTTATCCCCTCCTTAATGTTGTGTTATTTTCATCAGAGAAATTTCCTCAAGTGAATGCAGATTGCGGGGCTGCCTCCCCCTGCGATTAGGCTGTCACTCCTCTGAATGCTGATGCCTCCGGGCGCCGCGCCGCCCTATTATAGGGGGTTGTCAGTGCAAATAATTAGACTTAAAAGTTACAGCTGAAATGTAATCCAGAAATGGCAAAGCCCTGTTTTGGAAATTGTCTATAAAACATCAGCGCTGAGGATGCACAGGCAACGGTAATAGACCGGCATTGTTGGAGCCCAAGATTAGACCCTAAGTGCATTTTCCCGGCTCTGGTTTTTCCTTCCCTGCTGTTGCTTCTGTCAATAGACCCAGTCCAGGGCGAGTCCTGCCCCTTTTGGAGGCCTTGTGTCTGACAGCGGGAGGAACGACAGTGGGGCTGCTGCAGTGAGGCGCCAGCCACTCCTGGTTGTTGGGATGGGGGTCGCCATCCGTGCAGGTCCATGAGGCCGGGTCCACTGGCTGTCTCTCTCCTCTCTTGCCCCCACCCTCCCTCTAGGCATGCCCTAACCTCCTGCACACTGCAGGAGGAGGAATCTGAGCTGCAGGAAACCACTTTCCAGGACTCCTTGGGCGTGACTGGTGCCCCGTGTTCTTGTGAAAGCATCATGGGTGGTATACACAGGAGTCTCTGGGCTTGAGGCCCTTGCCTGGTGCTAGCGATGACCCTGAGTGTCACATCTGGCCTCAAACTAATCCTTAGCCCCTGGAGTTCTCCATTCCACTCACGTCTAGGTGGGGAAAAATAAAAAATAAAAACAGAACTACTCTCAGTGTTAGTTCCTGAAGGGCCCCCATTTCCTGACAGTGGAATAGAAGACCTTGTCTTCCAGGGGCTCTTTGGGGTGAAGACCAGTCAACACTCTGCACGGCCTAGGTTGAGACCCAGGGTTTAGTGGCCAAGGATGTACTTCCTTTTCCTGGGGCTCTTTGTTCTCCTGTCCAGGGACCTGATCAGGCCTCAAGATTCCACCACTGAACAGGGTTGAGCTTGCATCCGTGACCTCTCCCCTGGCACAGGCTCCCCAAATCCCATGCTTATGCCGACTAGAGAATATCTTCTCCTGCCAGCCTCGGCTAACCCAGAAGCCAAGAAGCTCCACAAGCTTCTCCCTAGAGCCTCATGGGTCTCTTTTCTCAGCCTTGTTAGCCAGGGCTCAGAAGAGCGTGAGCTTGTCATCACACAGACCTACTCCAAGTACATATATAAACTCGGGCGTGTTGCTTACAGTATCAGTCTAAGTAAGCTCCCTTGTCTGTGGTTGGGAGGTGATAGCATCTGTAGCATGCACACAGTAGGTGCTCGAGTGATTTTCCTTCCTCAAACTCATTTTGATGCCCATGAACAGGGAGGAGGTGGGGCAGCTGCTGGCTGAGCGGAGAGGCGAGGAGAGACTTGGTCAGTTAAGGCTGCTCCTCCGTGCCTTTCTGCTCGAGCCGGGGCTGTGCTAGACTCTCTCTTCCTCGGCAGGCCTGGGCCTGGTCCGCAAACAGACCTGCATGCCTGTACCTCTCCTTCCACGGTCCAGCTCTCAGGCCCAGCTCTGGAGCCCAGGGAGTACCAGCACCACCAGGCTGGGCAACACTTCTGTCCGTGCCTCCTGGCCTCCTTGAGCCATTTGGGGCAAGTGCTCAAAGGGGGCTCTTTGTCGTGGCTGCCTCTTGCCAACCATGCCCCAGGATCCACCTGTTCTCTGCCACACACAATTGCTTTATCTATGATGTGCTGTTGTCATTTGGTGTGAAGTCCCAGCTTTCAGACGTCATAGAAACCCACTTATATCAGCTTAAACAAAACAAGGAAACTCGTGTCTTACCAAACTAAAAAATGTAGAAGTAGATTTGGTGTCGGGCAGGGCTGGATCCAGAATTTGAACAGTTTGTTCAGGCATTTATCTGTTTCTTAGCTCTGCTCTCCTCAGTTGACTTCTTTGTTCTCAAGCAGATTCTCTCATGTGTTGTGAAAGGTGGTCCCCAGTCCCCCTAAGGCTAGCCACTGCAGTAGAGAAAATCACTGTTGTTGTAGTTTTTGCAAGAGTCCAAAGCCTATATATCTCATTAGCCAGGTCTGGGCCCTGGCCCATGTAGCAGGAATGGGAGGAGGTGTGGTTCCCCTAAAGAAAATGAGGATGCCAGTTCTAGAAGGCAAAACACTGAATGTCCATGAGGCACACTGAGACCCCAGGTGAGCCTGGGGACGCAGAGGGAGGTAGACCCAGCCCGTGATGCTATCACGCCTGCTTGCTCGGGGGACTGCCCGTGTTTTGGTTCTGTCTGGAGTGAGGCGGTGAGGATGGAGTTGGAGCAGTAAGGTGGGGTCCTGCGGTCTGGGTTGGGGAACCATGCAGGAGTTTTCACAGGGAAGCATTGTGAGCAGATTTGTGCCAGCTGTTTGTGGAGGGCCAGTCATGGGAGCTGGGGCCCAGAGGACAAGGCAGGAGGGACAGTGAAGAACCCGAGGCAACAATCTGAGGAAAGACGCTGGTGGCTTAGACTTTGGTGGTGGATTTAGAGAGAAATTAGTGGGTTTGAAGGATATTTTAGGCAGTGCGTTAACAGGACCTGGTGATTTGCTAGATGTCTGGTCTCAGCTGCAGCTTGACCCCCGTGTAGTGAAGTCAGATGTTGGACTGGGTGGTCTCTGCAGTTGCTTCCAGCTCAGATTCTGTGGTTTTGGACCATGCGAGTAGCAGAGTCCAGAACGTATAGTGGAGGGGCTCTGATGTGGCACTACGGTCCTTTGCATGCCCGGGCTTCCTGGCAAGGGTCCTCGGAGACCCACGCTCTTGGTGGTACCCTCTGGTCACTTAGCCTCACTGCCTGCCTTCTACAGCTCATGAAGGACACCCCCCAGCCCACCAGCTGCATGACCTGTCTGCATGCCACGCATGCCTGCCCATGGCTAGGTCTTGCCTCCTTCTATCCCTCTGCATGTTCTGAATATCTGTGCCAAGCTTGCAATTTTTGGGGGTGGGTTCCAGGCTGCACCTTGGACTGAGAAGCTCAGAACAGCTTCTGACCTGGGCGGCCCCAGGCTGGAGGTCGTGGCCAGGCACAGCCACCCTCCCTGTTGAGACCCTTGTTCATTGGCACGGAAAGCCATCTGTTTGGCGCCTTCATCATGTTAACTGCCATCGTCATGCCCATCCTGCCCGCGGACCACGTCCCTGGCCTGCCCCAGCCCTTTGCCCCTGCCCAGCCCATCCTAAGAGGCGGCCCCTCCTCTTGGGTTCCCAGGCTGTGCCTTGAGCATGGCTGAGGTCCCGGCAGGTGGTCATGCCACTGCCCTCATCTCTCACCCTCCAGTCATGGCCTGGAGGTGGAGGCAGTGACTCCAGAGAAGGTGGCCGTGTCACTCCCGGACTGACCTTCTGCCCTGCCCCAGCCATGCTCTGAGGACCCTCCACCCTGGGGTGCCTGGGCTTCTGGTGCCCCAGCTGACCCCTCTGGAGACCGTTGGGGGTGGGGGGGGGCAGGCACTGGAAGGCGACCTGGGACGTTGCCCTTACGAGGCCTGGAGCGTAGACAGTGTAGACGTGAGGCCTGGACCTTGCACTGAGTCCCTCTCTGACCCTGGGCAAACAGGGCTTCTCTGGGCCTCAGTTTCCTAGGCTGTAAAATGCGAGCTTGGTTGCGGATCTCTCGTGTTCTGGTCCCTGAGTGTGGGGCTACTTCTAGCCCAGAAGTGGGGTGGGAGGTGGTAAACTGGGGCCCAGGGACTCCGCCCCTCCTGTCTCTGAGGGGGGTTTGGCTCTGAGAAGAGGGCCTTCCTGGATGAGGGGCCCCTGCCCTTCCATCCTCCCGTGTGCACTGCCCGGCCTGTGAGTGCCTCTCTCCCTCCTCCCACAGTGCGCCGTGTGGCCCCTCGTTTCTCCATCCCTCCCAGCAGCCAGGAGGTGATGCCGGGCGGCAGCGTGAACCTGACGTGTGTCGCGGTGGGCGCACCCATGCCCTACGTGAAGTGGATGATGGGGGCTGAGGAGCTCACCAAGGAAGACGAGATGCCAGTCGGCCGCAACGTGCTGGAGCTCAGCAATGTCGTGCGCTCCGCCAACTACACCTGCGTGGCCATCTCCTCACTGGGCATGATTGAGGCCACTGCCCAGGTCACAGTGAAAGGTGAGTGCCACAGGCGTGCCTGCCATGGCCCGTGGCCTGCCCTGGCGCCTGCGGCTGGTGAACAGGGATACTGTGAGGGCAGGCAAGGCCTAGGGGGAGTTGCTCTCTCCTGGGTGCCCCGGCCCTCAGTGGGGGAGGGAGGGGTTTCTGTCATTAATAGTGTTACTATAATAGCTGATAGGTACTGAGTTCCTGGGGGCAGACCCCGTGCTGGTAAGCACAGACGACTTTGTTCAGTCTCGGTGTTACCCTGGGAGGTAGATGCTCTTGTCATCCCCATTTTACGAGTGAGGGAACTGAGGTGCGGGGTCACACAGAGGAAAATGACAGTGCAGGGACTTACGCGCCCCCAAGGCACTACATAGCAGTAGACCCTCGGGTTTACCAGCCTCCCCGCTAGAAGGATGTAATGAGATAGTAGCCATAGGGGTCATGAGTTCTCTACCGGAGCCTCGGGACAGGCACAGGTACATAGACTCCTCTGGGCTCCCCACTTCCCCTCTCACCTCTTCCGGTCAGTCCTCCATCCTGCAACTTGAATGATCTTTTTAAAATGTCAAGCAGGATCATGTCACTCCCTTTTAAGAAAGGGAGAAATGCCTTCCGGTGGCTTCCCATTGCTTTTAGGGCCCTCACTGAGGCCTCCCTCACTCCCCATGCACCGGCTACACGGATACTTCTGTTTTGCCCTGCCCACCCAGCCCTTGCCATCACTGGCTCCATCTCACTATCCAGGTCTCAGCTCTGAGGCCTTCCCTGATCACCCATCCAAGGAGATTCCCTGGATTTTTCCCCATCTCAGCACCCTGCTTTTTGCTGTCCTTGCACAGACCAGAATCATGTTTATCGACTCATTGCTTCTCTCTCACACTGGAATGTAAACTCCATGAGAGCAGGGGTGTGACTGTCTGTGTGACATTGTGTTCTCAGCCCTGGCATAGAGCTAGCGCTTGGTAGGCACTCAATAGTTATTTGATGAATGATTGGCTGTGGACCTGGGACTTCTCCACCTTCGATTTGAGCCAAGCCACAGGGTCCGTGGGGCCAGCAGCCCCATCACTCTTTCTAAAATCCAGGGGCCTGGGCCCGGCCCCGTGGCGTAGCGGTTAAGTGCGCGCCCTTCGCTGCTGGTGGCCCGGGTTTGGATCCCGGGTGTGCACCAGTGCACCGCTTGTCAGGCCATGCTGTGGTGGTGTCCCATATAAAGTAGAGGAAGATGGGCACGCATGTTAGCCCAGGGCCAGTCTTCCTCAGCAAACAGAGGAGGGTTGGCATGGATGTTAGCTCAGAGCTGATCTTCCTCACAAATACATAAATAAATAAATAGAATAAAGTAAAAAGTAAAGTAAAATAAAATAAAATCCAGGGACCTTCCCTTAGAAAATACCAATCCCTTCCTGCTCCCATCACACATACTCGCCAGCATGGGGGCGCAGACACCTGCAGAGGCACATCTCTGCTACCCAGCCTGTGTGCTTTCCATCTGCATGGGGCCTGGGCAGGCCATGGCACCTCTGGGTCTGTTGCTAGTGAGGATCCAGTGAGTTCTAGAAGTGACGTGGGTAGACACTAGGTGACCCAAGGCCCTTGGGGGCACCAACAGGCCTGGTCACCATCCTCCACTAGGTTCCCTCAGAGGTCACCGTGAGCTTTCCAGCCTGTTCTTCAAGGTGGGCTGTGGGGTCAACCACGTTCTGGTTGGATGACCCCAAGGGCAGGGTTGTCTCCTGGAGTCGTGACCTCGGACAGCCCTGAGCCTTCCACTTTGTCCCCAGCTCTGCCAAAGCCTCCGATTGACCTTGTGGTGACAGAGACAACTGCCACCAGTGTCACCCTGACATGGGACTCTGGGAACTTGGAGCCTGTTTCCTACTACGGCATCCAGTACCGTGCAGCGGGTTTGGAGGGCCCCTTCCAGGAGGTGGACGGCGTGGCCACCACCCGCTACAGCATTGGTGGCCTCAGTCCTTTCTCGGAGTACGCCTTCCGCGTGCTGGCGGTGAACAGCATCGGGCGAGGGCCGCCCAGTGAGGCAGTGCGGGCGCGCACCGGGGAGCAGGCGCCCTCCAGCCCACCACGCCGCGTGCAGGCACGCATGCTGAGCGCCAGCACCATGCTGGTGCAGTGGGAGCCTCCTGAGGAGCCCAATGGCCTGGTGCGGGGCTACCGAGTCTACTATACTCCTGACTCCCGCCGCCCTCTGAGCGCCTGGCACAAGCATAACACAGACGCGGGGCTCCTCACCACTGTGGGCAGCCTGCTGCCCGGCATCACCTACAGTCTGCGCGTACTGGCCTTCACCGCCGTGGGTGATGGCCCACCCAGCCCCACCATCCAGGTCAAGACGCAGCAGGGAGGTAGGTGCAGGTGGCATGCTGGCTGGACAGCCGCGGCAGGGCTGGGGCGGGCCAGGCTGTGGCAGTGCCTCCCCCTCAGGCCGTGAGCTTGGGAGCGCTGGGAGGATGAAGGCCTGTCTTCCACAGACATGTAGTCACTTGGGATGCAGGACAAAGGTGTGGGGGTGAGGATCTGCCGTCCCCTGCCTCCTTTCCCCCGGTGCCTCTGGCCTCTAGAGGGTCTGGTGAGGCTGACGGCACCTGGGGCTGTTGCAGTGCCTGCCCAGCCCGCGGACTTCCAGGCCGAGGCAGAGTCAGACACCAGGATCCAGCTCTCATGGCTGCTGCCCCCGCAGGAGCGGATCATTAAGTATGAGCTGGTGTACTGGGCTGCAGAGGACGAAGGCCAGCAGGTGAGTGCCCAGCAGGGACGGAAGGGAGGAGGGCTTGTCCTGATGCCTAAGGGTCTGTGGTGGGCTCACCCAGGCAGGCTTTTCTACATTTGTGTGGTCGTGTGGGCACAGCCCCTAGGGTTCTCCTTGGCTTTGCAGCTCACATGGCCTGTATGGTTCTGTAGGCTTTGTCACCTCTGTGCCAGGGGCAGAGTCCCTAGGTGTATCCTTGGGTGTCCCAGGCCCTGTGGTTTATGTGGCAGCAGCAGAACCCTGAAGTTCCCCTGGGACCCTGTATCCCAGGTGTTCCATGGCCCTGTGGTCTGTGAGGCACCTGTGGCAAAGGCTGGGCCATGCGTCTCTTGTGTGGTCCAGGTGGCCATGTGGCATGGATCCAGCTCTGGAGCCACAGTGGGTCTAGAGGGGTCAGTTGCAGCCCCTGTTGGGGAATAGCCTCTGAGTGACCTTTCAGGTCAGAGCAGTCAGTGAGTGCTCCCTGCTTTTCCAGCACAAGGTGACCTTCGACCCCACCTCCTCCTACACCCTAGAGGACCTGAAGCCTGACACACTGTACCGCTTCCAGCTGGCCGCCCGCTCCGAGATGGGGGTGGGTGTCTTCACCGCCACCATTGAGGCCCGCACGGCACAGTCCAGTAAGTATCTCCTGAGGCCACTGCCTGCTACAGCTGGGCTGGGACACAGACACACACACCTTTCCTCCTTGACCAGGCAGCTGGTCAGGTCTGCTGGGCCCTAGACTGGATTCTAGTCTGGGCTCTCGGTCTGGACTCCAAGAGAGGGACAGGTAAGTGCCCACTAGTCTGTGTCCAGACAGCTGCTGCCCTCACTGCTCCCTGCCCGACTCCTGCCCCTCCCCCACGCACCCCCCTCCCCCATCCAGGTAAGTTCTGTGTCTGTCACTCATCTCCTTCTTCCCTCCCACCCTGTGCTGGTCACAATTGCTGACTGGGCTGTCTTCAGTGGTGGAACCACCATGCTCGCCATGTCCCACACCTGCTTTGGTGGCCGTCCTTCCTACTGTATCCCCACTTCTCATCTCCCATATCACGCATATTCCCTGCCTCCTGCCCCCCCACCATGAGAAGTACGTGTGGGCCGTGTAATCACACTGAGCCAACTGCACATGGGGACACGTCTGTGAGAGTGACACTCTGTGACTGAGCATGTCCACATGCCTGCATTGGGACTACACGGCCATCCGTGTGTGGGACCATCTGCGAAGCCATCTGTGTGACACCTTTGTGGCGTTGTGTGTTACTGAATTTCTGCATGTGAGTCTCTGATGCTGTGAGCGTGTGTATGCCCACGTCTGACCGCCTTGCCCTGCAGCACCTGTACATGTGTGCAGTGAGTGTCTCGTGTGCCCCTGTGATTGGATCTGTAAGACTGTTCTTAGGATTGGGACTCAGTGAGTGTGTCTCTGGGTGAGTGACCTGTGACCCAGTCTCTGGGCCTCTGTAGCAGCTCTCCCGATGACAGACCCTGAGACCACAGGGTGTCTGGTCACACAGCCACAGCAGGCCACTGTCCATGAGGTTCTATGTGATAACAGGGCTGTGGGTATGTGGCTGGATGGGATCTTGGCATCGAGACAATGAACACATGTGATGACCTTAAATACAGCAGAGTCTGAGGCAGTCCCTGTGACATGGGCCATTGTCCTCATGCCCTAGCATATGCCAGTGACATCAGGAGGCCTGTCTGTGTGTGCCCCTGATGTTCATGGACTCATTCTACAACCATCTACTGTGCTCTTGCTGGGTGCCAGGCCCCGTGCACAGTGCAGGGCGGGCATCACAACCCTGATGCCCTCAGCTTGTGGGGATCCTAGTCTAGTGGGGCAGACAGCCATTAAACCCACAATTATCCAAATGAGCTTTTAATTACATTTGTGTAAAGTGCTGGGGAGGAGGCAAACAGTGGAGAGATGATGGGACAGGAGCCATATCTGGTCTGAGAGATTGAGGAGGGCCTCTTTGGGTGACACGGAGGCCTCAGGCAGAGGTCAGCTGGTGCAAAGGCCCTGGAGTGGGAAGGCAATTGGTTGTGGGCAGGGGCGAACAGCGGGCCAGAGTGGCTGGAGCAGTTGCCAGATCCCTGCAGTCAGGGCCTCCGGGCCAGAGGACAGGCAGGAGGGCTGACAGGCTGCTGTGTGAGGATGCGCAGGGCAGCCCTACGGGACGCCAGAGACCAGATAGGAGGATTTGCAGCAGTCCAGGCAAAGATGGTGGCTCAGATGAGATGGCAGTGGTGGATTTGAGAGCTGTCTGGGAAGCCGACTAGCCAGGACTCGATGACAGATGAGGTGTGGGGGGCTGAGGGAGAGGGAAGCAGCAGGTGAATCTTGTTTCTGGTGTGTAGACCTGGGAGGAAGGCGGTGCCGCTCCCTAGAGTATGACAGGAAACAGAGGCGGGCACCCAGGCGCGGGACGCTGTGTGCCATCCCGATGGTGACACCTGGCAGGCGCCGGAGTCCAGGGCCTGAGCTGGAGGTGGAGGACCCTGAGAAGGATGCCCACGGATGGGAGGAAACCCAGGAGAGCGGAGTGTCTTGGAGGTTGGAAGAAGAGAGTTTCAAGCAGACCAGATGCTGCTGCTGAGTGGTGAGGGCCAGAGGAACGCAAGAGTGTCTTTGGATCTAGTAATGTGGAGGAGTGGACCTGGACAGGAGTTTTGAGACTGAAGTTGATTGGATTTCACGAGGCGCGTGTGGAAGGTGAGGAAGTGGAGACAGAGGACTCAGAGGCTAGGAGTTTTGCTGGGAGGGAGGGGACCACTGTGGCTGGGATGGGGGTGCTGGGGACAGGATCTGTCTTTTCTGATGGGAAAATCTTGAGCATGTTTAAATGCAATTGGGAACGAGTCAATAGGGAGAAGCAGAAAACATGGAGAAAAGAAGGATAATTCGAGGCTCAGGAGGTGCGGGAAGAAGGCAGAGCACAGTGGTGGGAGAGATTGGCCTTGGACAGGAGGGCACATTTCTCTGTTCTTGGAGAGGAAGGAGAGAATCAATGCAAATAGGTTGGTTGGTGAGTTGGGTAGCAAGAGGTGGAGGGAGCTGCTGTTGGGAGTCTTCGGTTTTCTCTGCAAAGCAGGAGACAGGATCATGTGCTGAGAGGAAGGGAGGCGACGGGAGCTGGAGGTTTGAGGAGCAGGGAGGAGGTTGAAAGCATTCTGTGTAACGTGGCCGAGCGAGCTAGGCAGAGAAAGAGACCAGCAGGCAACATGGAGGGCCCAGGTGAGGCCATGGGGGGTGTTCAGAGGGTGCTAGCCTGCCTGGCCAGGTGACTGGTCTCTACCTGCCCCAGTGCTGCCTTGGAGCAGGCGGAGAGTTGGGTCCGCTCAGAGCTTGGTGCAAGCTGGGCAACAGCGTGAATGAGGCAGCGGCGAGGGAGTTGGGGATATTGGTAAGAGTGGTGAGATGGTGGACTTTGGTGTCTGAGCTGAACATGGAGGGCCGTAAGGATGGTAGGTCGGTGGTTGGAGGTCCCCAGGGGGTGAAGAGCAGGCGCAGTGCTGGGGGCCTTGAGCAGCTGAGCTGGGACAAGGGTGAGGGTCTGTGAGGGGATGTTGGAGGCCAGTTTGGGAGGTAGGGCCGTCCCCACTGGTGGCATTATCTAGGCGTGATCATAGCAGTGCAGGGGAGGAGAAAGCCTTGGAGGTGAGGGGCTCAGGGGCCGCTGGGTTGAGGGGGCTGCTGGTCACCCAGGCGGGGGTGGCAGCAGAACTCATGATGGTGAGGAAGCCCATGGAATGGCAGCAGAATCCTCAGCAGGAATAGGGGGACCTGGGAACGAGGGGGGCACAGACCTGCCTCCTAACCCCGAAGGAACCTGTTGAGTGAGAGCACCTCTCCCGGGTACTTTTCTCCAAGCTATCCCGGGGCCAGTGGCCTCCAGTCTGGTTCCCTGAGGCTCAGGCCCAGATACCCCATCCAGGCAGGCAGAGGCCAAGGCAGCCTTGCACCAGAAGAGCCAGTGGGGCCACTTGTCCTGAGAAGAGAAGAGCTGTGGGCACAGCAGCTGGAGAATTTCTCCTTGTGTGATCATGTGTGTGACTGGGGGGTGGCAGTGGGGGTGACATGGTGCCGTGCTTGTGTGTATCTGATACCACGTGTGTTTTGTGCAAGACAGCATATGTCTTGTGTGTGTGAGGCACTGTGCCAGAGCCCCGTATATGTCAGAGATACCGTATGTGTGTGGGAGACAGTGTGTGTGTGTGTGTGTGTGTGTGTGTGTGTGTGTGTGTGTGTGTGTGTAGAGCCTGTGATCCAGAGGGAGCGGGCTGTGGCGGCAGTGGCGGCAGCGCCTGTGATCCAGAGGGAGCGGGCTGTGGCGGCAGTGGCGGCTGTGGCGGCAGTGGCGGCAGCTGCCCTTCTAGCCCTTCTGAGCCCTTCTGTACTTGGGGAGCAGCCTGCCTGGGTGAGTGTCCCGTCCTCTGTGACTGGTCGCTGAGCTTGTGACCCCTCCATCTGCCTGCTTCCCCCATTTGTCTTCCCCAGCCCCCTCCGCCCCTCCCCAGAAGGTGACGTGCATGAGCGTGGGCTCCACCACAGTCCGGGTAAGTTGGGTCCCGCCGCCAGCCGACAGCCGCAACGGCGTCATCACCCAGTACTCGGTGGCCTACGAGGCGGTGGACGGCGAGGACCGCGGGCGGCATGTGGTGGACGGCATCAGCCGCGAGCACTCCAGCTGGGACCTGGTGGGCCTGGAGAAGTGGACGGAGTACCGGGTGTGGGTGCGGGCGCACACAGACGTGGGCCCCGGCCCCGAGAGCAGCCCGGTGCTGGTGCGCACCGATGAGGACGGTAGGCGGCAGCGCCAAGGGGAGGAGTGGGAGGGGAGTCACCCCACTCAGACACCACCTGCCTCGCACTCCAGGGCCTTTGCCTCCCGTAAGCCCAGAGGGACTCGTCTTCCTCGTGTAGGCTTAATGGCCCAGACTGGGGAGATCTAGCTGTGGGACAGTCTATGCCCAAATCCCAGCCTTTGGGAGTGTCTCCAAGGCAGCTGGAGCCTTAAGAGGCTAAGGCAGAAGCAGCAGCCCCATCTAAGATTGGGGAGGTCGAGACTGGGAAGAGTGGTGCAAGAGACACTCAAAACAGAATCAGTGAGACTCTGCCTTGGCTAGACTTGGGCATGATCTGGGGGCCTAGGAGGAGACAGGACAGGTTGTGCTGACTTTAGGGTGGTTGAAGGCCTGGTGCCCTACCTCTCCCCTCCGTACCAAGTGAGGTAGCTCTGGGCCAGAGGGGTCAGCAGTGCCGGTGCTGGGCTCTTCCCTCTGCCAGGCAGAGGGAACCTTCCATGTTCCTTTCCAGGGACAGACAGTCTAAGGAAACCACATCAGGGCCTTTCCTGGGGCAGTGGGGGGCAAAAGCAAGGCTCTGGAGCGTGCTGTGCCCACCTGAGCCGGGCTTCACACCACCAGGCCTAACTTCCTCCTCTCCCTGGCCCCCAGTGCCCAGCGGGCCACCGCGGAAGGTGGAGGTGGAGCCACTGAACTCCACTGCTGTGCGTGTCTCCTGGAAGCTGCCCGTCTCCAGCAAGCAGCACGGCCAGATCCGCGGCTACCAGGTCACCTATGTGCGGCTGGAGAATGGCGAGCCCCGTGGCCCCCCCATCATCCAAGATGTCATGCTGGCCGAGGCCCAGGTTCGCCACTGGGAGGTGGAGGGGTGGGACGGTGGGTGAGACCAGCACACCTTGCTTCCTCCTTGGAGCCCAGGTTTGTTCCCCTTCCCTGCCTGCCCTCAGAGGGACTGTCACACGGAGACATCCTGCTGCGTCGGGCTTGGGAGGCACTGAGACCGAGGTTAGGGCCAGGTTCCAGGAATACTCCCTCCTCTGTCTTGGGTCTGCCTGAGCTGTACCAAGCCAGGCCCTGCCAGCAACATCTGCCCTGGTGACAGTCCCAGTGTGGCAGTCACCTCTGTGGTTCAGCCGCCAGCACTACCAGTGAGGAGCTCTGTCTGCGCAGACCCAGGCCTCCATTGTCACCCCCTGCCCAGGCTTCAGTACCCCAAGCCCTCCTTTGTGGTTTGCAGGAAACACATTCACTGTCAGGCTGTGCCTCCTCAACAGAGCTGGGCTGCACAGCCACTCCTCCCACAGCTGGGGCAAGGAGAGACTCCTGGGCTGTTACCTGGCACCACTTGGCTCTTGGCAGTTGCAGAGTTCTGTGAAGGGCCAAGCTGGGGTGTTGCTCTGCGCCTGCCCCCCAGGAGGATGGCTCAGCCCCTGATGTTACTTTCAAGGTCTGGGCCAGCCAACCTTAAGTCTCCCTCTGTGTGCTTCTGTCCTCCAAGGACGGTGATTCTGCCTGTGAGTTTGGGGTGAGGTCCCTGGGGTTTGAGCACTGGTTTGCTATTCAGATGAAGAACCTGGGATACTGGGAGGTTATGTGAGTGCTCCACAATTTTCCAGTAAGTGATAATATCTGAGCTTAGATAAGAAGCCAAGTCTCTGGACTCCTGGGCAGGGGCTATAATTGCTATTGCGAATTCTTCCCAAAATATTCTGCTGATGAATCATGACACCTGGTGTGGTCTGCTCTGAAGGTCTCCCTATCCAGAATCAGGGCCTTGGGGGGATCCATAGGAGGTAGCACTGAGCCAGCCCTAGGAGGAGCCCAGATTCCCTCCACAACCCACACACCCTCCCCATCCAGCTTTTCACCCCTACCTGGGCTGGGATCTGAGGTACAAGCACGTACCCCATGTTCTGCATGCTGTGCTTAGGGGTGGACTCAGCCACACAAAGGCAGGGCCTTTGTGCCTCTGGCTGGGCTCAGCACTCTGAAGCAAAATTCCTTTCTGCCCAGAGGTTCCATCTTCCTCCTTTCAGCCTGCCCAGTGCTGAAAAAATGGGGTGGAGGAGGTGGGTGTACCCGCCTGCATTCCTGGGCCAGGTCGAGGGCTCCTCGTGGGGGCTCAGCAGACACACCCACCCAGAAACATCCCAGGAATGGGCTCCCTACTGCCCCCCCCCATCCTAGGGGGCAGCAGCACAGCTGCAGCCAGGGGAGTTCCAGAGGAACCACTTAGGGTGCCCCCTTCTGGTCCCGCGTGGTTTGAAGACAGCTGGGCCAATAGGATGAGGGACACGGCCCTCTTGGCCTCAGACATCCTGTGATGGGGGGTAAACACGAGCCCAGGCTCCAGGGAAGCTGATTGCAGATGGAGGGCCTGCCCGTGCAGCCCCTTGGGACTGGGTCATTCTGCTCCAGGGCGGCAGGAGAGCAGATGGGGCCTGGTCCCCAGCCTGGCCACAGGGCCCAGCTGTCCCCTGAGCGCCCTGTCAAGGACACCACAGCCTGTCCTTCTTCACCAGCAGCACCATCTGCTCAGCCCAGGGCCCACATCAGCTCTGACAGGACCGTGGGGTACGTGCCCCCGACGTGTGTAGCCAGACCTGTCTCCTGTTAAGTGTGTCTCCTTAGGTTTGCCTCCCTCACAGCCTCTGACTGCATCTCCCCCTGTTCTGCCCCATCTCATTGTCTCTGTTCCTCCTTCCTCTCTGTGTTCCTGTCTCTCCCTCCACTGACGGTGTTTTCGTCTGTCTCATTCTCTCCTCTCCTCTCTCCTTTGCTCTGCTCCCTTCCATCCTCTCCCTCCATTTTGTTTCACCCACTTTGTCTTTCTCTTCTTCTCTCTCACTCTGCCTGCGACACAGGAGAGGTGCCCTGTGAGGACCTCCGTGCCCGGGCCTGGCTTGGGCAGCACAGGTCTCCCCCCTGGCAAGGAACCTAGAGCAGAGGTGGGTCCAGCCCCACTCTAGAAAGTGGCCTTGGCTGGTAGGGATCTGTCGATGGGCTCCTCCCATATTCAGTCCCATGGTCCTTGCAAGGACTTTCCAACAGAGGAACTGAGGCCAGTGGACAGAGGCCAGACCAGCACTATAAGGGTGGTTGGGCCAGAGGACCCCCTGGTGCCTCTATCTTGGAGGTGTCGTGGACCATCTCCCTGTTCTGTCGGGGACACTGGCCAACCCCCAGCCCTCCAGTGCCACAGGACCACAGAATGGAGACCTCATTCGCTGCACATGTCCAACTAGTACACCTGCATGCACTATGGCCTAAAGAATGGTGTACCAAGAAGTAGTCACACTGGCAGCCCTGAAACAGACCTTCCTACCTTGAGGAGATCTCTGGCACCCCAGGAAGGACACGGGGTCTGAGTGCTTCCCCTGAGCCTGTGGGGCAGGACCCAGGCTCCAAGCGTGGCACTCACACCTTCACCTTGCTGGCCAGCCTGCCCACCCGGCACCCCCCGCCCCCCCTCTGCCATGCAGCTCTTGCTGTTCCTGGGACACCACGCCTGCCTGGGGAACTGTATAATCTGTCATCCCAACCGGGATACTTTTGAGAGTGAAAGGCGACATCATGGATAATCATACCCTGACAGCCAGCAGAGGCCAGCACTGTCCAGGCAAACCAGGGTGTACAGTCACCCCCTTTACCCCTCAGTGTCTACCCTCTGCCTGAACTGTCAAGCCCACCCCCCATATCTGGTGGTCTCTCCCTCCAAGCACCTCCAGGTGGTGCGCTCTGATCCCTCAGTGTCAGGGAGCCCTCCCCCGTCGGGCTGTCTGCCCCCCAGGTCTCCCTCCCCTCCTCAGCCCTGCCACACACATTTGGGCTCCGAGAGGCAGGGGCTGGGATCTTCGGATGGGGAGTGGTGCTGGAGTGCTCCCCACATGGGCACTTCAGCGGCCCACCCCCTTCACCTGCCCCTTGCTCCAGCCAGGCCCCCTCTGGGCCAGAGTCCTTCACATCCTGTCTCCCTTTCTCTCCCTCTCCCGCGGTCAGTGGCGGCCAGAGGAGTCCGAGGACTATGTAAGTAGCAGGTGTGCGAGCGCGGGCAAGACGTGGTTGGGCTGGGCTCGTGGGACACGCCCCTCCCCTGCCTTTCCTCTCAGCCTGAGCCACCAAGATCCACAGGGCACCAGCCGCATCCAGAGAAAATTGGCATTTAGATGCGAGCACGGAGCTGAGCCGCAATTGGCACTTCCTCTAATCCTTCCTTCTCGCCTGTCGAGTAGCAATTTCAGGCTACCGTTTGGAATCGACCAGGGCCTGGCCCCTGCTCTGGCCAGACAGGGATGGAGTTAAATCCGATCCTGATCGTTAGGCCTTATTGATCTCTGCTGTGAAAAATCACCTGCTTCTGGGCCCAGGCTGGGTGAGGAATCTGGGGAGCTGGGTTCTAGTATTGGTGCGTTCTGGAGCCCCAACCCTGGGAGACCTTCCAGCTGGGGCAGGAGGGGGCCTCTGAGGGGTTGGTGGCAGCTGCAGTGGCCCCACCTGAGGCTCAGAGCTGGAGGGACACCAGGGTTGGTGGTGACAGCTCTGTTCCCACTGGACAGTGGTCCCCTCCCTTCTTCTCACTCTTCCCTCTGTGTGGCGTGGCTTGGCCTCCCGTGGTGTTTCTCCGCATGTCCGGAAATGATGCCTTGGCTAGAGATCGGTGCGTGGGCAGGGCCTGCCAAGGCTGGGGGACACTGCCCTGGCTGACTTATCAGATATCACCGGGGACAGTGGAGAAGTGCATTCCCCAGAGTGGGGCTTCCCTGTCCTCCTGTCTCTCCTCCCTGTCTCAGGAGGTATTGCAGAGCATAAGGTGTTCACAGAGCCAGTACCTAGATGGGGGTCAGGTGGGGTCCTGCTGGGTAGCACTTTGGCCCACCCCTCCACCCCACTCTGTGCGTGTGAGCACACACGTGCCTTAGTACCTGCAGGTGGCCCTCCATCTGTTTACACAGGAGGAGCTGTGGGCTTCATGCATGTGCGTGCCAAGAGCTGTGCAAGGTGCTCCATGCATGCGAGCTCTGTGCCCTCTGTGTTGTGTGTACACAGACCTCACGAGGTGTCATTCATAGTACAATGGAGTGAAGGAACAGCGTGGCCCTTTGTTCTTGTCTGAAAGGAAGAATGAGCTGTCTCCCCCAGACGTGTGGCTCCTGGGACGGGCGGGCTCCTCCTGGGCGCATGTCCCACCTGCCTGCCCTGCCTCCAGCAGAGTCCAGTATTGCACAGCCACCATCCCAGGACCGCTGGCCTTGTGTGCTCTGGGGACCTTCCCCCAGCTAAGGTCCTGAGGTGGCTGGCATGGTCTGGCCTCTCCTTGCTCTCCTGTGATGGGAATGGGTCTCTCCTCCTCCCTTAGGAAACCGTCATCAGTGGCCTAACCCCAGAGACCACCTACTCCATTACTGTTGCCGCCTACACCACCAAGGGGGACGGGGCCCGCAGCAAACCCAAAATTGTCACGACGACCGGGGCAGGTGAGTGAGGGGTCAGGACAGAGCCGAGGGTGGGGCAGAAAGGAGGGCAGTGCCAGAGCCCGGTGCGTGGTTGTTCAGTCCCAGGCCGGCCCGCCATGATGGTCAGCACCACGGCCATGCACACCGCTCTGCTCCAGTGGCACCCGCCCAAGGAGCTGCCTGGCGAGCTCCTGGGCTACCGGCTGCAGTACCGCCGGGCCGATGAGGCAAGACCCAACACCATAGACTTTGGCAAGGACGACCAGCACTTTACGGTCACCGGCCTGCACAAGGGTGCCACCTACATCTTCCGGCTTGCTGCCAAGAACCGGGCCGGCATAGGTGAGGAGTTCGAGAAGGAGATCACAACCCCTGAGGATGCGCCCAGCGGCTTCCCCCAAAACCTGCGTGTGCTGGGGCTGACCTCCTCCACCACGGAGCTGACCTGGGACCCCCCAGTGCTGGCGGAGAGGAACGGGCGCATCACCAGCTACACTGTGGTGTACCGCGACATCAACAGCCAGCAGGAGCTGCAGAACGTCACTGCCGACACCTGCCTTGCACTCTCCGGCCTGAAGCCGGACACCACTTACGACGTCAGGGTCCGCGCACGCACCAGCAAAGGCGCCGGCCCACTCAGCCCCAGCATCCAGGCCCGGACCATGCCTGTGGAGCAAGGTGTGTGCTGTGGGCACGTGGCTGCGCCTGGGGAGCTCTGCTCTCCCTGACCCACTGACCGACGGCGACTGTGCTCCACCAGCAGCTGCTGTGTGATCCTCCAGTCTCATGACCGTGACCACTAACCTCTAGCAAACGGGTGCCACGTTCTTGGTGTGCGACCCCTGACCTCTGCTGTCCTTGACCTGATTTCTGCCGTGTGACTCTTCAATCTCCTGTGACCTTGACCTACTGATCTCTTTTGACTGCCTCACTTTTCTCGGGTGTGCGACGCTAATCTCTTGGGGCCACGACCTACTGACCTCTAGTGAACATGTTCCACTACGCTCTGGCGTGCAGCCACATGCCTCTCATGACCGGGTCCCACTGACCTCTGGGCACTCTGACCTGGTGTCTCTGAGCTCCAGCACTTCCGGAGATCCTGACCAGGGGTCCTGTGGCAGCTGCTCTGGCCCGGTGCTCACCGTGACAACGAGCTTGGGCTGAGAGCTGAACGTGTGCGATTTGAAGAGGGCTGGGAGTGGGGCTACCTGGTTCTCTGCAGCCATTCCTAACCCCCGACCCCTGACCAGTGTCTCTTCCTGGCACAGAAGCCCCTCAGGCCCGTTCACCCCACCCCAGTTACGTGGCCAGAGGTGACTCCCTCCTTATGTTCTGCAGTGTTCGCCAAGAACTTCCGTGTGGCAGCCGCAATGAAGACATCTGTGCTGCTCAGCTGGGAGGTCCCTGACTCCTACAAGTCAGCTGTGCCCTTCAAGGTGGGTGAGGGCACGGCCGGCAGAGCCCAGCACACATGTAGGCCTGCTGCGGGCATCATTCCAGTCCCGTTTGTGGGTGTTTGTGACACAGGATCCTGGTTAGATGTGTGTGCATGCTCGTGGGAGGCCTGTGATGGGGAGCCTCACCCAAGTGCACTCCCTGCCCCCGTCCCCTGCAGATTCTGTACAACGGGCAGAGCGTGGAGGTGGATGGGCATTCCATGCGGAAGCTGATTGCAGACCTGCAGCCAAACACGGAGTACTCGTTCGTGCTGATGAACCGTGGCAGCAGCGCAGGGGGCCTGCAGCACCTCGTGTCTATCCGCACAGCCCCTGACCTTCTACCACACAAGCCGCTGCCTGCCTCTGCCTACATGGAGGACGGCCGCTTCACCCTCTCCATGCCCCACGTGCAGGACCTCTCACTCGTCAGGTGTGCAGACGAGGCCTTGGGAGGTGGGCAGGGCTGGCGACGCGAGCATGGTGATGACAGCTGATTCCTGCTCTGCCCGCCCAGGTGGTTCTACATCGTGGTGGTGCCCATCGACCGTGTGGGCGGGAGCATGCTGGCCCCGAGATGGAACACACCCGAGGAGCTGGAGCTGGACGAGGTGTCTGGGGCAGGACAGGGTGGCACTAATGACAGCCCCTTACTGGTTGGCTGTGGCCCCAGTGACTCTCCCACAGTAGCATCACTCTGGCTGCTCTGGCTAGCAGCCTGCCCCTC